AAAAGAAATTCAGCTATACAACCTAATTTAAGCCCTTAATTCCACAATGTAGATATAATATTGTAATTGTTAACTAATTTTAAATTACTGTAAATTTGTAACTAATGGCCACAGAAGCCGATGTTTTATATTAAGATCAATAAAAAAAAATAAAAAAATAAAAACATAATATACTGAATGTAAAATAGAAATACGAATATAAGCCAATATATTTTAAGTTTTAAGATAAACAATGCAAGCAATATCGTGCTTATTAATAATAAATAAATTATATGTAAAAAATATCAGTGCCCTTTAATTGGTTCCAATAATATTTAATTTTTATTAGTTTTGTATTTTAAAATATTTATCAGACATTTAATTTATAGCGTAAAACATAATAATTAACGCGGTAATACAATACATTTAAGATTAAATCTGGTAATTGTTATTTCAAATTAAGAAAAATTCATAGAACTAATAAATATAATAAAATGGTATTTTGAGCGAAATTTTTCTAATTATAGTAAACATTGTATTTGTCTATTCAATAAATAATATTTTACTAAACTGTCTTATTTATATAATTTGTTATGTTTGTTATGACGTCTACTGAGTTCACTCGCAGTGTTGGTGATTATTAAATATTGAAAATTGAATTTTAACAACAGTAAAATTAAATGTAAAATATACAAAAATAAAGGACTACGATCGGATTAAAAATAGTAGGTACTTAGAAATTGAAATGAAAACAAATAATTAACGTGGTATATATCTAAGTAAATTTATTTCAACATTAGATAAATTAATTTTTTTTTTTCGTGAAACGAWATTTGTTTATATATTTTAATTAGGTTCACTATCGAGTATTGGATGGTGAAAGTAATAGAAAATGTACTACATCATTTTTTCAGAAAGAAGTGATACAGTAGGTACCACCAATGTCATATAATCAAAGGATTGRAAAAATGTTTTATTCTATTTATAATATAATACAATTATTTATTTCATATTTGTATAAGTATGAATATTATCCGTACTTTTTTTTTACCTGAAAAAAATWKGACCCGGTGGGAACTGTTTTTCACAATACTAATATTATCTGTACCTATATAGTCAAATAACGTCATTTCGGCGTTTTGTCGTGTTATTTAGAAGAGCATTATGTGTAGTAGGTGTCTATGCGAACATCCGTCAAGCATAACATACTATCATTATTCTACAGCTCTTTATATTCTCCCACCATAGCGTATCTGACGCTCCACCCACCTGTGATAATTTATTTTTTATTTTTATCATACTTAATACGGTGTATTCCTCACCAAACCTCACTTTACGAAGAAACTTTTTTTTTTATAACTAATAAAAATTTTAATTTTTTTTTCAACAATTTCGTATAGTTAAAAAAATGGAAGTTCAACTTCCAAAACTATGGAACAAGCTCTATTCATACACCTCCTTCCTTCAAATTTACATTCACATCAAACGTTCTCTACACCATAGTTATTTACATTTAATGTTTATATAGTACCTATATTATAATATTAAACTTACATTGAAGCACGTGCACGTGAATCGTGGCCGGCGATATGTTTTGTGGTTGACATGTGTAATTACCGCTGTCCGACGTGTTTGTGTATGGCATAATCAGGTCGCTTTCCGTGCTGTTGATGTGCACGACCAGTCCCCGATCTGTGTCAAAATTGATCATCCGATCGGAATGATACCAGAACACGAACAGCGGGGCTTGCGTTGACCCCTGTAGCCGGCATACCAGTCTTAAGCTGCTGCCGCTCATAATGTACAGATCCGGYGAGCCAAGGATTTCCGCTCTGGCCTCTAACGGAACGTTATCGAAAAATAAATAAATAATTCAAAACGCTTGTAAATCTTAGAATTCCATTTATTTGAGAATAGAGTGTTTAAAAATACAACCTGTTCTAAAACTTAAAATATAGTGATTTGCCGTGAATGTCACTCTGTTTTATCTTTTAATAATGCATTTATTTAAATTGTAATTTTAGAATTTTTAAATATACTTAAAATTCGTATTTTTAGATAAATTTTGAACACAAAAGTATTAAAATAGGGATTATTTTTAACCTTACAATTCTCATATGTAAATCACATGTGAATGTGGAAGATTTTTTTTTGAAAATATTGATGTACCTAATTATAAACTCAAACGAGTAATTATGTCTGCTAATGATTATAATCCTTAACAAGTGGTTAGGTCTACTAATTTCAATGATCTTGCGATCTTGCCACGAACGCATTTTCATCATACAAAACACTCGCAGTTGTTTTATGAACTTGTGATGAGTACCATATGAAATACGTGATAAGTTTTTATAAGAATTTATATCATGGGAAATTTTCTAGGTATAGATAAATAAATAAATAAATAATCTCAAAAAATTTTGAATAACATCATACTATCAAATGCACAAAAATTAGTAAATATAACTAATATATGAAGCGCAATAATTGAAAAATTTACTTGCATTACATAATATTATGGTATAAAAATCAGCCACTTTTTAAAATTTCTACTATCTTAAATATAGAATTATGTTGTATTTTGTTGTATTTCGTTTAATATATTCTAAATATACATCGACAGCTTTGAAAGTTTATGTATGGAAATTGACAATTTAATATCTAAATTGATACAAAATTCGTTGTCTCCGGTACAATCAAAAATTTAAAATATGGATGAGAAGTTTACCAATGATTCTGTATGTTTTGTATATTTTTATGTTTTGTTCATATAGTTTCTAATTTTGTTTCGAACCATTAGGTTAAATAAATTATCAACTAACCTATGAATCATTACATATGAGTCAAGAGACTAACTGCATATTATGACGTGTTATATTAAATTAATTGTTTTTGTTTCTATCCTTGTGGTATTCTTGTGTACACTTAGTTTACTGGTAAAGAAACGTAAGCTTACGAAATATTTGAACATAAAATAAAGGTTTATGGACAAGAATTTTATCATGAAAATTGAATAAGAGCACGCTCCAATAACTTCATTCGTAAAAGGCACAATAGTTAAATTAAACTATGAATCAATGTATGTACTGTTAAGTATCACCAGATTTAGATCAACATGTRCAGTTTATATGTACGTAAATAAAATGTGAAGTAAACTTACCGTATTATGTATATAATACGATACAATATATATATTTCATCATACACATAATTTTACTCTTGTCTTAAAATTTGATAGAATGACACGCCTTTCGCGCAATCTTTCGAGAATTTCATATTATCCATCAATGTCAACGCAAACTTAGGGAAAGTCGGAAAAGTCGTCCATGTTTTTTTTTGTAAGTAGGTACTCATTTTAAATAGATGAAATAGTTGGCTCAAATATTATACGAGTAAAAACAGTCAAAAAAGTCATGCCAAGGTTTCTAAACATCACTGACATCACTTATTACAAGAACATAACAATGTTTTTATTTTAATAAAACGTTTTCATCATCGTTGATATTGAAATATATAATAAATATATATTATATATTTAATATATTTATATATTATAATATATTTTATATATTTAAATATATAAAAAATATTTAAACATATCAACCATAATACAATAGGTTATTATAATTAATGAATTAAATAATCCTCGGTGATATCTGCTTATACTCTAAACTTAAAACAGTTAAAACTACAGTTAACTAACCTGTGACTTTTAAATGTACAAAATTGCTGGTCGTTGGATGTGTGGCTATACGACATTCGTATAAACCCGCGTCTGATGCTTCCACTGGTGTTATTTCTAAGTTCCACGTCTGAAAAATTGAATTAAATTCCATTGAATTATAATAAAAGTATAAGTATTTAAATAAAAATGAATAAAATAGTTTTAATTTTAATCTCGCAATTATTGAAAATACTTAAAGATTRGAACAAAWTCAAATACTATTGATTATCATAATAAATTATGCATTTTTATTGTGTGAGCATGTAATTTTAAAACCAATGACAGATGCAATGGTTTTACTAGAACAACCAATATATAATATATGTAGAACAACCAATATATAATATATGATATTACCCGAATTATTCAGTGATAATTGTTAAAAATGTTTTTATTTAAATAATTAAGTATTCCTATATCAACATTAATGGGCGGATCAGTTTGAAATTAACTTCTATGAACTTTATGATACGAATTTCAGTATTCAGAAATTGATGAATCATTTAGTTTATTTCAGACATGATAAAATATTTGTATTTATCATGATGTCAATTACTGRCAATTAATACAATTATTAATATTACCAGAATATAGTTTTGATTTAAATATTTAATATTCAATATCATATTTATGTTTTAATTGTTCACTTATACACAAATGCCTAAGTATAAAGGCTATACTTAAATGCAACCATTCATGCATTTCCAAAATATGTTTTATTATTAAGCTATATGTATTTGTTTTACAGTTGATTTTTTTTAAATCTAGGTATTTCTTATTAAAGGTGATTATTAAGAAAAACTAATACTATAATATTGTTTTTGTGTTTAAAGTGCATGTATTAAATTAGATTAACTTTCTCAAAAACCATAAAATGGAATACTGTCCACGCGGAGAAAAAAAAATATATATTTCGTTATTGCAAAACATTTTTAGGTGGTTTCAGAGCTTGAGAAACCAATAGGTTTTATAATAATGTTTTTATACCCCCCGAAACATATTTTGGGGTAGTAAACTCATGTTATAAAATATTGTTGTGGCCATATCAATTGATTTGATATTAAATAGGTTGTTGTTTTAAAAATGTATTCTGATAACATCTAAAAATGATAGGGTTGAATTTTAAACAATGTTGTAACTAATACATAGTACACTATAAAATGCTTTCAAATTTAAAATAATAATAATAGTTAATCAGATTAATGTCCAAACATAAGCGAAACGATATTTACATCCAATAAATCGGATCATTCAGTTTTTCACCATAAAATTATTGTTTTTTTTTTTTTTAAATTTGGTTGAATAAAAATACTTAAGTATTTCAAAATAGTTGCAATTTACATTAATCTAATTTCCTTTGAAAGTAGAATATTGGTTTTAAAACAAAAACTTTAATGGTTTGAAATGAAATTATATACCTAGGTATAAGATATAAAAACATTGTGTTCAATATAAATTATTTGCAATTAAAAAAAAAATAATTTTGGAATCCAAAATTACATTTTATTTTTATTTTTTATTTGTTTTTGAGTTTTACTGATTAAACATTTCCATAATACATTTTTTATTCAAATTTAAATAATATTTTCTATATTATAAA